TATTGTATTGTATTATTAATAAGTTATTGAAATATAAGCTAAAATAAAAGTCCAAAGACTTTTGCACCAGACTGTATTTTAAAAATTTTCTTTTTTTTCTTAAAAAAACACAATTTATTTTAATGATTTCAATAAGTTGTTTACTTTTTTTTTTTTTTTTTAGTTCTTTTTTATCTCTTTTATTTTTTCTTCTTTATATATTTATTTTCTCTCTTCTTTTTTTATATTGGCTTAAATAAAATATTAGCAACTTTATAAAAAATATGTATAATTAAAAATAAAAATAATTTTCTTTTAATTAATAAAATAAAAATAAAAAAAAAAGATAAATTGATTCTTTAAATATTAATAAAAAGTTAAAACAATCTAAATTAATTATATTAAAAATATAGGTTATTAAAAATATTAATCTAAAGATACCAATAAACCATGTAATTGATAATTATTTTATTTTTTATTATTATAAACTATTGTTATATTTTTTTTAAATAATTAAAGTGTATGCATGATATAAAATCATGTATAGAAAAAGTAAAATTTTATTTTTATAATAAAATTTAACATTCATATAATTATATAATAATAAAATAAATTTTCAATTGTCAACTTTATCTTTACAACTCCTACTTATTTATTTATTATATCATTAAACAAAAATCCAGCCAAGAAACTTGAAATTGTACAGATACTGTATCTACTGTATATACAGTAAATAATTCATAGCGGGACATAATTACATATAACTAATATTGTATTATTATAAAATCCATTAGCCATTTAATTATCGTGGAGTAAATCGAGTTTCACGTAATAAACCACGTACTGTATATGCTATTAACATAATTTGTTTATGTTCCTTCCGACTAGTTGTATCATTTTTTTTTTCCTTGTCATTTTTCTACTTCAAATTCTTTGTCGGAAGACGACAGTTTAGAAAACGAGACGGATTTCTAATGAAAGTTTATTTAGGGGTGAGGTGGGTTGTATGAGAGATCTTGCATTTATGGCAAAATCATGATGACTTTCGCGATGGAATTACGAATCTCAATGTAAAAAATAAAATATGATTTGTAACCTTTGTATAAGGAAATCATGCCTTGTCTTCTTAAATGGACGCTATTAGCTAGACGGCATATTATAGGTCTAGAACCTTCTATAAACGGATCAGGATAAAATGATGTCAAATGATTTGACATCATGATACCCTTTGCGGCAAGCAATATAAAATTTAAATACAGTACTATGCGTATACTGCGTATACTGTAGTTGCTGTTAACTCCACAAGTTGTCCTTTGTAAATAGAAGCAGAAATAGATCGATCATTGTAAAAGTCATCATGAGATAGAATTCTGTCCACCAATTATAGTAAATACAGCATATACGCGATAAACTGTTTCATTGATATGTCAAAGAGGAACGCGTCATGATCAATTCTCTCTTTCTATATAAACCCAGAGTTTTGTTTTTCATTTGCATATTCAATTTTTACTTTTGAATACCGAACAATTCAACAATCAATAAGTTAACTCTCTGGAAGAGTTGCGTCATACTCAGACACACTGATTCACCAACTAGCACCTGTTTTAACACTCATTTATTTTACTTATCATGAAATTTCTTTTTTTAGTCGCATTTCTTCTCACAGTTAATTCAACTTATCAATGCCATATCCATATGATTAAACCAACGTCATCCCCTTGCGGAGATAAAAGTGTTTCTTCTATCACTACCCATTATTCGATAGGTCAATTAATTAATATTGAATGGGAAGTTAATAATGCTTGCGAAAAACAATTTTACGTTGATTTATCGATTATCGGTAAAGATTCCAACTTTAAAACCATTGGAATTCTTTTAAATCGTGCGGATAATGTAGGGGAGATTTCACAAGCAAATATAAAACTACCAGAAAACGTGGAGTGTGATAATTGCACCTTACGTCTAAGATGTGCTGAAAATTCGTCCTGTGCCAGCATTCGTATCTCTAATAGAAGTCACATAGATACAAAAGGCTCATACGCGCGTTCTGGAAACGTTAGATATGATAAACGTAATTACGACTTTCAACATGGAATGTCTATGCGTAATCCTAACTCTAATATTGGTGACGAAATCGGATTATATAAAAAATATGAGAAGCGCAATCTTAACGGTGAAATTGGATTATACAAGAAGCCCAATACTGGATCCAATCCTAACAACAAGGAGATTAAATTAGATGCTAGCAACCTTAGGTATAAAAAGCGCAATCCCGATTCTGATCTTGATGGTGAGGTCGGATTAGATGCTGGCGATCTCGAGCATAAGAAGCGCAACCCTGGCAATGAAGTCGGATTAGGGGATCATGGCTCTGGGTACACGGGTCGTAATTCTGGTTCTGATATTGACGATAGGGCCGGATTAGATTATAACGAACCTGGATACACGAATCGCAATCCTGGTGGAAGTAGGGTCGGATCAGGTGATAGCAGTCCTGAGTCCACGAGTCGTAATCCTGATTATGCTACTGGCAATAGGGTTGGGTATAAGAAGCGTAATCTTGATTCTGACCTTGATGGTAGGGTTGGATTAGATATTAGTAGTCTCGGGTATAAAAGGCGCGATCCTACCTCTGATCTTGATGATGAGGTTGGATTAGAAGAAAGTGGTCTCGGGTTCAAAAAGCGCAATTTTGGTTCTAGCCTTGACAGCAGAATCGGGTGGAAAATTGGTAGACTTGGGTATAAGAAGCGTAGTCCTACCTCTGATCTTGGTGATGAGATTGGATTAGAAGAAATTGGTCTCGGGTTCAAAAAGCGCAATTCTGATTATAGCCTTGACGGCGGAATCGGGTGGAAAATTGGTGGACTTGGGTATAAGAAGCGTAGTCCTACCTCTGATCTTGGCGATGAGATTGGATTAGAAGAAAGTGGTCTCGGGTTCAAAAAGCGCAATTCTGGTTCTAGCCTTGACAATGGAATCGGGCGGAAAATAGGTAGACTTAGGTATAAGAAGCGTGGTCCTACCTCTGATGAGATTGGATTAGAAGAAAGTGGTCTCGGGTTCAAAAAGCGCAATTCTGGTTCTAGACTTGACAGTGGAATCGGGTGGAAAATTGATAGACTTGGGTATAAGAAGCATAGCCCTACCTCTGATCTTGGAGATGAGATTGGATTAGAAGAAAGTGGTCTTGGGTTCAAAAAGCGCAATTCTGGTTCTAGCCTTGACAGCGGAATCGGGTGGAAAATTGGTGGACTTGGGTATAAGAAGCGTAGTCCTACCTCTGATCTTGGTGATGAGATTGGATTAGAAGAAAGTGGTCTCGGGTTCAAAAAGCGCAATTCTGATTCTAGCCTTGACAGCGGAATCGGGTGGGAAATTTATGGACTTGGGTATAAGAAGCGTAGTCCTAATTCAAGATTTGATTATGGACTCGAATCATAATCTTGTGTTTACGTCTTATAAATGAACTGCACATAGGTTAAAAATGTAAGTCAACATTTATAGATCTAATAGAATTTTTTTAAAGCATCATTATATTATAGACCATCTGCATTTTACATGTTAAACCAAATCATTATAATTTTCCAATAAACGCATAAAATTTTATCGGAAAATAAAATTCGAGCATTGCTTTCAATAAGAAATATAATAAAATTTAGATTTCTTTATTTATAAACTATTTACGATATACTGTATAAGATTAATAAATTCTTAAAATTTAATTTTTTTAAATTTTTAATTTAAATTTAATAAAATAATAATTATTATTATATTTAAGCATACAGTATATGCAAAACAAAATAAAGTATCTGGTTTTAACTTGATTTGACATATGCTGTATTTAAAAAAAAAACCAGACTTTATATTGATTTATTAATAAAAATGTTTTTTTGTTTTTATTTTAAATATTTAAACAGTTATAAAACTAATAAAAAATTTTTATACAATATATAATAAATTTTGAAAAATTAATATTTTTATTACAAAATAGGAATAAAAAATTTAATAATATTTAAAATTCTTTTTTTTAACTATATAATATACAGTATGGTACAAAAAAAAATCAAAATTTTTCTAAGCTATTATTTTTATTAATAGATAATATAAAATTATTTAAATAATATAAAACTTTCTAAATAATATAAAACTTTTTAAATATGTTTTTAAGATTAATTACATAAAACCATAAAGTTATTTATTATTTTTTATAAAATTTATTGTTAAATTTTAAATTTAAAGTTAGAATTTTTTTTTAATAAAATAATAATAATTAAAATATTTTATATTATATATTAAAATACTGTATATACTTATAAAAAAGCTTATTATTAAAATTAATTTTAATATTAAATAAAAAAGATAATTGAAATATTTTTAAATTGAATTTTTAAAAAAATATCAATATGACCTTTTTATAGTAGTATAATTATATACAGTATAAAATAAAAAAATTAATATTAAATTTTTTTTATTAAAATTATATTAAGTTTTATTAATAATATATATTTTTTTTTTTAGTAAAATGGTATTAGATATAGAATTTTATTAAATAATCATCAATTTTACATTACATTAAATATTGTCTATTATTATTACAATAGTTAAATGCTAACCTATTTACTTATTACTTCAGCAATACTAATGACACTCATAAAGTAGGTTTATATTTTTTGGAAAAATCTATTTAGGGAATGAAAATCTTATCACTAGTTTTAAACCATTTAATCTATTGGTCCAATATTATATAAAGGCAGTAAATATTGTTGATTGTTTTCTAAGATTATTTATTATATTATATTTTTTGTTCATATAACTAATATATAGAGGGGCCTAACATAAATATATATTCTCTAGTAAATGCTCTAGTTTTGATTTACTAATTAATACTGGCTACCAAATCTAGAGGCTCTTGTAATCAAGTGGAATATAATTCCTAAGAACCATACAGATCATGCTAAACAAACTTCCAAAGTCCTTTATCTCCTAGTAGATACTTCAGTTTGAAATTGATTAGTGTAGGTTATCAAATCTAGAAGTATAAATGTTAAGCAAGGTACAATTTCTATATATATAATAAGCCATTGGATAATTTATATTGCATAAAATAATAATGTTGATTCAATATTTTCCTTCAAAGCTATCTTATTTGCTAGTCAATAGAAAAAGAAAGTATTATACAGGTTTGTTAAAATGGAGTACAGCCTAATCTATATATCCAAATAAGTGGTTGTTTTAGAAGTTGATAAGAGTTGATTAAAATAGAGTATAGTCTAGTCTATATATTTAAATATATAGTGATATCTTTTATTAGATGACTATTGTAATATCAATTAGAAGATCATTATACTACTATACCTTAACAGAAAGATCACAATCTCAATGTCTACTTAATCAACATGTAAAATGACTTCTTATGAGAAATAGTATGTAATTAGTTATAATATCAGATATCATATTAAATTTACTTAATTATCTTTATATAGGATTGAACTGATATCTTGTGATCTGACCTGCGAAGTACTAACTACTGTGCTATAGATCCACAGGTAAAGATAAGTTCCTAAATTATTTGTAAAAACATAATTCAAACATCTCTTATTATTAAAAATTTTCATTTCTATATTAAGAAATAAAAAAAAAACTAACTACAAAGGTTCTTTATGGTTTTAAGCATCTATACAAATTATTTCTGGAATTATATTCCTATTGAAATAAAGAACTAGGAATTACTAGCAAATAGGCACATCCTTACGTTTGTGCTTTAAGTCTTTAAGTATATACAATATTTTTTATAAAATTATATAA